GAAGAGAGAGAAAAAATGGTATTTTGCTCTTGACATTTCCTCTTTCTTTCTTTCTTTCTTTCTTTTTTTTCGAAACATGATTTCTCTGTGTAGTTTTGGAGTCTGTTCTGGAACTCGCTCTGTAGACCAGGCTGGCCATGAACTCACAGAGATTCACCTGTCTCTGCTACTGGAGTGCTGGGATTAAAGGTGTGCATCACCACCACTTGGCTGACACTTCCCTTTTCGTTTCTTGTGCCCTCCCTCCCTCTGCTTGTCCTGCTTCTTTTTTCTTCTTCCTTTACCCACCTACCCATGGATCTAAGTATCATCTATCTCTCTCCGCATACATCCAGACAACCAACCATCTCCCCATTTACATGTGTTTGGCATTTCTGTCTCTATCATCTATAAATTTTATACCAAAAACATGCCTATCTGTGCCTATTAAATTTTACAAAACTTAACTAATCTTTCTCTCTGAAATGAACCCTCTCTTTTTCAGCTTCAGAGTGCCTGGTTTGAATGGTGCTTAGCATACATCATGTGACTGCCTAAGCTGCACAAGTCCTGGCTTTCTTGTTCTGAGATTTATCTCCAAAACTCTTAGAAGTTCCCTACGAGTATGTAAGATGACAAAATTTTGTTTGGGTTTATATTAGGTTGAGCTCTATGGAATTGCCAATACTATACTGTCTTTTCTTATCCTATAAAAACAATGAAACTTTAAGGTCTCAGAAAATGAAGAAGAACAAATTGAAAGCGGAACCCTGCTGTTTGCAGCCTCCTCGCTTAGTCTAAGGAGACCTGTGTTCCTGGTTCATCACTTTCTTGTCAATTTGTTGATCTTTAGAGCAAATAAATATCTTATAGGTTTGTCTGACTTTCAGTGAGCATCTCGTACCCAGAAGATATCTTTACATAATTGTGAATATTCCACTCTACCTTCTGAAACATATATTTTTGGTCACTTAAAAATGTATTTTTATATATTATAACAACTCAAAAACTTTCATTTTAATGAAAATATAAGGAAATAAATTTAGGATAAAAATTGTTCGATAAAAATCATTTTTAAGATAACAATATTTTCTAAAAGTGTCAACTGGGACACTAAATTTCCACTGAGAACATCCCTCTACTCTAAACAGAACATGATAAAAATTATTTTCCTTCCTAAGTGATAGATTGTTATGACTCAATTTTCAGTATTATGCACTGCCTTACTTTTCAAAATGTAGCTATATTTGTTTGAAAGGAAAATCATGTTTCAGTTGGTAGAAGAAATGGTCTCAGTTACAGCCATATTGTTGTTAAACTTGACAGTAAAACATCCAATCCTTGGTTCTTTTGTAACTGCCTGTGTCTAGCTATTCTCTTCCCTAATGTAGAGGAACACTTTCATGCCCCAATCCCTAAAGGGTATTAGAATATTAGCAAGCAGGTAAGCATGGCCAGGGTTTCTTTTCTAGCCAGAGTATTTCATCTAATGCTATATACACATCACATCTATTCCCCCCGATATGAGTAGCATAATTCATTGAACAGGGTGCCTTCCCTACTTCCCACCTCCCAGTTGGACAGCCGAAAGATGCAACAAGGATCAAGCCATAAAACACAGGAACCAAGAGCCAATCAGTAAAGAGAGACCTGTACCCCAGGCTTATTCCAAGCAAGCCATTCATGGAGCTAATGTGATGGACCTATCCAACCCAACACGTACCACAGACACAGCAACACCGAGTAGCATGCAATGACCAGATGACCACAGGCCCCACCGCCATGCTCTGATTGGTTCAAGCTTAGAAAACAATCTCCTTGAGAGTCTGGACAGCTGGCTTCCATCACACCAAAGTGAGATTAACAAAACAAAGAGTTGATCAGGTCAAGTGTTTACCAAATGTTTATAAAATGCCAAGGAAAGTTGTTTGCTTATTCTGTTCCCACTCAATTCATCATTGAAGGTGTGATGTTCAGTTCAATCTTTGTGGTTTGGGAAAAGCTTGGCCCATAGCAGATGGTCTTTATTCAGGAGGTCAACACCCAGACCCTCTTGGGCTGCTCTGAGATTGTCAGCATGTGGTTATTTAAGCAGAAAGACGATGGGCAGGGAGCTGCAAGGTGCCCACTAAAGACCTTCCGGGTAGCACCAGAGTTACCGTGGGTCATAGTTTTCAAAGGGTTCCTGAATCTTTAATTTTATAAGGGTGTGATTTGTGTTGAGTAAAGGTAAAATTCTATGAATGGGAGGGATGGGGGCAGCACACCAGATGGATTTTCACTTTGGAGAAGACTGAAGATAGGTGTCAGGGAAGGTCTGTTGCTGTGCTTCCTTGAATCCAGTTGATAATCAGTGACCATTTCTCAACCATTCCCAACTCCGATTTCCCTTCCAAGTTTGAAAGGGTTTCTTTGGGTTTGGAATTATCTCTCTTTGTCTTCCTATCTGTCTTCCAGAGAAGAGGGAGTTAGTTACTACTGATGTATGGTATGATAGTGTTAAATAAATTATACTGTTGCCCTGATAGATTCTCCATCTTTAGGAGACATTCAAAACCTCTTCTGCTAATTCCCCATTTTCCTCTGAACATATTTTAATACAGCCCTTTCCTTACCTGCATTGATTAAAAAATAAAAGGAAGGTACCACCACTTAATAATGATAAATCAAACCAGAAATTCTATTTTAGAGATTGTTTTCTGGTAATTCACCTATTACTAAATTTACGTTAATGAATAATTCCATAGGTGACAAGTATTCTGCTTACAGTAAAGTTAAATAGAGCCAGTAATCAATTTCCACAGCAACGGAGAGGACCTAATGTGCAAACATCTCTAATAAACAGCAAGAGGCCAATTACAAGAAAAAGAATATAGTTAGCGGATTCCTCCAGCCACAACTGCTACACTAAACTGGGAATTGCAGTTATTAAAGATTTACCAATCCAAGAAAGAGTGTTTTTCAGTAGAATGTATCACCAATAAGAACTCTTAATAATATTAAAACTGCAGGTTTTATACAGTTATTTCCATATTTGGTGGTCCACAATGCAGAGAATTTGGACAGTTTCAGAATGATGCAAGTGGAGACAGTGGGCTTCATCAGTAACTCTAAGTATAGTATTAAACACTTTGTTTTGATCAAGTGTCTAAATTGATCTTCTTGAAGAGGCGATATAAAGTCTATCTTTGTAAATAACCTTTCTTCAACTTGGGGCTAGATGCACTTAATCCGAGGAGAAGCAAGAAAAACACTCAAAGAAATAAATCTGTTTAAGATTCTTATAATTATACAGCAGGCTAAAGTTACTATGATTATAATTACATACAAAGTGGGCGTTTGAGAATTTAGCATCTAGAGATATTTTCATAAAAATAATTAAGGGCTGTAGCTGAGCCACACTACAATTGAGACTGTGTGGATCTTCAGTGCATGGAATTTAATAACATTTAAGCCTTTTCATTTGTAGAATGATCTCAAGTATTTCAAGATTGTCATCATTTTTATTAGCCTTATTGACCCTCTCAATTTTCTTAATCCGGTGTCAGAGAATACTGAAGATAACAATTTATATGAAGCATCTTGCATCTTGGCAACTGATGATTGGGGAAATGGATAATTCATGTATTTACAAGTGTGTCTGGCCAGTGGCTTGGATTCCTTTAAAGATTCTCTACAATTTAGAAAATGTGTTATGAGTGCTCAAGAGAAAACAGTAATAATTCCTGTGTGTAGCCAGACAGCAAATCTCAGCTCGGCTTGCCAAAGACTCATTTATGACACGTTTGTCCGTGGAGCTAAGTACAACATTTTAAATTCTGGAATTTCTTTTGCTTTATTAAACTGCAGAAAAACTATGCAGCTGCTACGAGCTAACAACACTTCTTGTGAGAAACGGGATGGAGGTGTAGGAAAAGCGTACCACTGTAAACCGAGAGGAACTGCATGGCTGCAAGAAATCTTCTGACAGTCTCTTTCATGGGCCACGCCCCTCGCCTGCTTGCTTACCTGTCTGACCCAGCATGCCTCAGCCACACATGCAAATCGTTACCATGATCATTTTATTCATGAAACATATCCTTAAATTAAGACAGTCATCACGAGAATAAGCACCCTCCGGGACATTCATGCATGCCAAGCATCTCAACATTCACATTGCTGTCCTCAGAGATCAGAGCCAGGAAATCGCATTCAGTATGGAGACACACACATTTTGTTTGTTGCCTAGTTTACTGCCCCCCCGCTCCAACAAGGCACCTATATAGAAATAGTTATAATTGTTTTAGAAACCATCACATCGCCAAAGCCTGGGGACCAAGGCAGTCACACACACCCATTCGGAATTCTGCGTTTCTCAACTACGTGTCTGTACCTCCAGCTGCCGTTCTTCATGTGAGGTGTGCAGTGCAAGTGAAAGCTGGCTTATGTTTGTAAGTTTGGGTACTGGGCACTGCCAAGATCAGTGAATCCCCTTATGGAAGCGGGGTGTTCTGCCCATTTCTTTATTCTGAATTCAGTGGAGCAGAGGTGACTGCTTTTCTGGGTGTCAGGAGGGAAGGAGGTGAACCTTCAGGCTTATTACTTTGTCATTTTCTTCCTATGAATTGGGTGAAACTATGGTCTTATGTAGAAGGCCACGAGAAGGTTGAGCAGTTGTGTGTGTGTGTGTGTGTGTGTGTGTGTGTTTACATGAGTAAGATGCATGGTCTAGGAACAAAGAGACCTGAAAACAGCTATCCAGAGATAGAGCTGATTTCTTTTTTCTTTCTTTCTTTCTTTCTTTCTTTCTTTCTTTTTTCTTTTTTTTTGCATTGCATCTGTCAGGGTGAGGAGTTCACAATGAGCAAGGCTTAAGCATCCAAGTTCTCTCCACATGGCCTGTGCATAACTTCACCATGGGACCTAATTTTCAGGGGCTTCCTCTTCAGTAGTCATGCATGTTTCAAGCAAGACCAAATAAGAATCAGAATTTCCTGTCCCACGAGCTGTTTTCAAGTCACCGAGAGAAGAAAGACCCGTACCTGTCACTGTAGGCAGCAGCAGTGGCAGGGGTGGGCTGGGCATAGCGGTATGCAGCATAACCACCCTAAAACACAAGGAGAGATGAGGCTTAGGGATGCAGAGTTCAGTTCGGCAACACCTAGAGGTGAGAAGCCCGCACCAGAAAAGCAGGTACCCAAGTCCTCCCATCCCAGCTGGAGGTTAATGAAAGCTTAGTATCAGAGTGGAAGAGAACAGCACTGGAGAGAGGAGGCTGAAGACCCGTCCTGGCTGCGTGTTAAAGGTTAGGAGTCCTAAATGTATCCTCAGAGGCAGAACCCAGAGGCCCTTTGAGGAAAACGCACTAACGTGTTAATGGTGATGGTCTGGCGGTGAGGATAAATATTCTTCCTACTTTGCTGAACTTTCCAGGTTTCCAGAATTGACCAGGCTTTACCACAACTTACCAAATATTAACTTAAATTTTAGTATATTATCTTTATTTTTCATAAAACTAGATACTCTCCTGCATCATATTGATTTTAGAAAAAAGATCAGTTAGTTTCTTAGCAATTGTGTGTGTGTGTCGTCATTTAATCACTGATGACTTTGTAGAAGGCTTTATTAATGTTCCATAGTTATTACAAAAGTGAACGACTGTCAGAAATCTGTCTCCTCTGTTGAAAATATCACACTGCTACTCGCCACACAAATTCAGGCGGAGGATTTGGTTCAGGGATGGGGGAATGTGATAAAGTCTTACAATTTGTAAATAAAATCATTAAGAGAAAAAAATCTGAAAAGGAAAATAATTAACATTTAGTTCTGTGTAGCAGTAATTGCCATTGTTCAATTAAGCAAAGAGAAAGTGCAAATGGGCACATGGAAAAGGATTTGTGCAGCGGAGCATTGGTTATCAAACTGAGAAAATAACGGCATCCTGCTCAACAGACCAGGGCAATATGTCAGCCACCATGGAATGATCTCAGCACAGTTAACAGACTGGATCCAGTGGCCAGAAGAGATAAGGGGCTTCTTCAGGTTCTAGTGAGAAGGCTCGGTACTGCAGTCCTTCAAGGGCTGGAACCTCACCTTTACAGTGCGGGGCTAACTCAGGGTAGAGGGGCATGTCAGAGGGCTGACAACAGCACAGTGCCCAGCGAGAGCAGGGCAAAGTTGAAAGGTGTCATACGTGTGGCCTTACACACAGAGATGAAGCCAGGCTCTAAAGTAACGTTAAACATACAGGCAGTAGCGCTCGACAAGTCTTTCCGATGTTTCTGACTGAAATCCTGTATCCTCTGTGTCATTGCTCAAAAGAGCCAGTTTTTCTATCAGGAAATTTGTTCTTTGGATCAGCCTTGGTAAAGATACACCCAAGACATCTTGGTGGATAATCACCAATAATACAGAACTGGGAGTTTCTCTGACGGCTTTCCTTAAGGAAAAAAAAAATGTGTAATTTAAAGCAAAAAAAGGTTTTAGCCAGACACCACCTGGTGTTCCAAACACAGTGCTTTCTAATGAGGAATGGGGGAACTCATTAAATGTGCTGAGAAGTCACAAAAACAAGGCAGGTGTCAGGCCAGCACTGAGCTGCAGAGGAGGAGCCATGGGCCATGGAGAAACCAGGCCACCTGTTGTCCACAGTTGTTCTTTTAATCTGCCTGACTATTTGTCTCGGCTTTCATGATCTATCAGAATGATGTAAGTATGTAAGTATGTGCATTAAATTTAATGAGGTAGGAAGCTGTTAGGATTGGCCAGCCAATGACATGAGGCTTCAGCAACAACTGGATAAAGTGTGCGTGTGTATGTGTGTGTCGGTCTGTCTGTCCAGAGCAAAACATTTTTAAAGTTATTTGCACAGATCTATCAGCTTCCCAGTAAATCAGAAATGATGATGGAACCTGTACCCAGCGATGTTTGCTCTGCAAGCCCTTGGGGCGCAGGTTTTTCCTCTGGACATTTGCCGAAGGGTCTGTCAGGAGAGCAGGTAGGAATTCGACCACAGGAAGCTTGGCCACAGTGTAAGTGGAAGCAACTCAAATGGGCTCTACTGCCTACAAGGCTGACATTTGTCATGGGAATGTAAGCACAGCTATGCACACTGGCACAGCCTTTTAAAAAAACTTTAACTTTTTCTTTTTAATTTTATTTTTGAGATTATATTTTGATTGCAATATTTCTCCCTTTCCTTCCCTTTCTCGTAAATAAGGTGAACTATGAGAGTTTTGGAGTTATCTTTTTGTGTGTGAGTGTATTTACTTATGGCTTCAGCACTGAGAAGAAATCAGTTTCTATGTCAAACAGCCACAGGTGTCAGACCCTGAGATTTGGTCTGTTGCTTAGGAGTTTTGCTTTCAATTACTCGTTCTCTGTCTCTCTGTCTCTGTCTCTGTCTCTCTCTCTGTCTCTCTCTCTGTCTCTCCCTGCTTTGTTTTTTGAAGCACAATCAAATGTAGCCTCAAGCTTGTTTTATAGTTAAGAATTACCTTGAATTTCTAACAACCCTGCCTCCATGCCCTGAGGTGCTGGAATCACAGCTGTGTTCCTTCCTCCATGCCTGGCTCACAAGGAGCTGGAGATCTCCAGGGCTTCATTGATGCTGGGTAAGCACTGTACCAGTGGGGCTAAACCCCATCCAAGTTTATGTTTTCATTTATTGATGTGTATGCGTGTGAATGTCTGACACATGTGTGCATGCACCTATGTAGGTCAGAGAAGGACACTGGATACCCATTATGTGTAGTTATGGGTGGTCAGAGCCGCCCCAAGTCAAGGTTAAAGCCTGAACATCCGTCCTCTGGAGAGCAGCAAGCACTGGTAACTGTGGTGCCATCTCTCCACCTTCCACCAAGTGTTCTTCAGACTCCATAGCTTGGTCTGCTGATAGGTTTAGAGTAAGTGAAGTGGGTTTGAGCTTGGCAAACAGATCACGTGGTGGTAACAGCAATGATCTGCCTGTTTCTTTGTCCAGCATGTTGGCTAACAGTTTAGGTGTTTTCTTATTACTTGAAATGCAGGGACTATACTGTTAATTAACTTATTTATGTTATATTAACTATCATTAATTTGATTTGTTTTTACCTTATCATTTATTTTATGGTACTAGGATCTTGTACACACTGGTGAAATGTTCCACCATTAAGCTATTTCCCAAGCCCTCCCTCCTTTTTTAAACTTTATATTTTACTTTGAGATAGTATCTCATGAGTTCAAAGCTGGCCTCGAGTTGATCCTGTAGCTAAGCGTGGTTTGAACTTGTGATGTTCCTGACTCCACCTCCTAAATGCTGGGATTACTGTTACACCAGATTAACTATTGTCAAATGAATTACTGTATGCTGCACACGTTAAGTAAATTAATGTGTGTTCATGTGTGTGTAGCTGAGTGTGCTCACATAAGTTCATGTGTTTTAGCCAGAGGACAACCTCCTCAGGTCCTGTACACCTTCTGCTTTTCTTTCCTTTTTTTCTGAGACCAGGCTCTCACTAGTATCGAACTTGCCAAGCAAGCCCTACAGATCCTTTTGTCCTGCCTTTCTGTCTCTGGGGTTAGAAAGAAATGCCCCCGTGGTTGGATTTGAAAAACAAAACCAAAAGAAACACAAAACCCCTCAGTTCTGAAGATTCATCACAGATCTCCTGCTGGCAAAGCAAGCACTTGACCAAAGGAGGCTCCCCTCAACTCCTAGTTAATTTCAGTGTAAGCCTCTATGGGCTGGTGGCTGTAGTGTGTGAGAATGGGGTGAAAAGGATTCCGCAGCTCCATCAGGCCACCTCTCTAAACTGTGTGTTGTCTTTCCTAATGTTCTTCTACATGAGATCCACAGTACAGCAAGAGCGGAGCTGCATGCTAACTCGGGGTGCATGCACACGCTGCAAAACGGCCCACAGATGAAACTGCTTTAATTTGCTTTGCAAAAAGGAGACTCGAGTGAGCCGCATTGCTCTGTAATCTGCAGCTTGCTGAACACAAGCAGAGCTTCTGTGCAGTTCAGTGCTGATGTCTGAAGGATGAGGTCTGCCTCCTGTTTGAGGATCGCAGCCCCTGGTCTTTGTTGAACCCTGCTAACTGCAGGTCTAGTAGTGAAAGAGTGTCACTGACAAGGGGACTTTTCCTTCTCTAAACCAAATGAGAAAAAAAGTACAGCAGTTTTATCTATTCTACGCACACAAATATTAATGTGTGTGTGCGCACATGTGTGTGTGTGTGTGTTTTGCTGGACGTTGAACCCAGGGCTTTATGCAGGTTAGGCAAGTGCTCCTTCACTGTCCTATGACCAAAGTCTTCCTCTGAGTTTTTGTTTGGACACAGGTTCGCATTAACTGCCCCTGGCTAGTATTGACTTACCCTGTGACCAGCCTTGAACTCTCAATCCTCCTGCCTCTGCCTTCCAAGTGCTGAGATGACAAGCCTGTGGCATGGAGCCATCTGTGCCACCATGGCAGGTTTAAGATTAGCTGTAGACCGCATTATAAGACACTTGGCAAGCGGTAGATGTGTTGACTTCTTTCTCTTTTTACTTCCTACGAATTTACTCATTTTGGTGTTTCTTTGGCAATGAGAAATAGTGTTGGCAACTGGGAAGAAAATTTTTTAACCATCTATAATAAAAGTGATGAGTTATAGAAGATGGAAGGTTTGCAGCCCCTTAGGCTGGAAGTATAAGAGAATTTTGATTGAAAGATTAGTGTATTCTAAGAATCAGCCAATGATTATGGAGAAATTGATTCTAACAAAAACTCTAATCTCCCACCTCATGGTGTATGTGTGTATGTGTGTGTGTGTGTGTGTGTGTGTGTGTGTGTACATGTGCCATGGTGTTGATGTGAATGTCCCCTTGAGTGTTGGCCCTTGCCTTTCACCTCTCTGCTTCTTCCTATATACACCAGAATGCTGTCCTGTGAGCGTCTTACTGTGTATTCCAGGATAGCTGTCCTGTGAGCGTCTTACTGTGTATTCCAGGATAGCTGTCCTGTGAGCGTCTTACTATGTACAGCAGAATGCTGCCCTGTTAACATCTTACTGTGTACACCAGGACAGCTGTCCTGTGAGCACCCTGGAGTGCCCACATCCCCTCCTCACATTTCTCTGTAGCAG